AGAAGAACTGCTCAATAGTTGACTCGATGATGTTTAAAAACAGCTTTTGAAGGCTTTGACAGTCTGTTCTGTCATCTTTTGGGAGGTCTTTGATGTGCCTCTTGAGGTTTGGGAAATATCTAAATCTCTCACCATCCACATCCCTCTTAAAGACTTCCAGTTTCTTTTTAAAAGCCTTTATGTAACCAAACATAACATCAAGTGTCTTGCCAGTTCCTTGTAATTTAACATTTAATTCATTCAAATGTTCACAAAAATTGTAAATGGAAGATTAGAAGAGAGGGTTTCACGTGCCAGCAAAAGTTACTGGCGTGCCATGTTTGACACGCGTGCCAGGGTTTGCCCACCCTTGCCTTAGACCACGCTCCCTCCTCACATTCCCAGTGAAAGGAGAGGAGAGGAAGAATCCTTTCCAAGTAAAAAGCAGACCTCCTCGCCCTGGCTGGTGTTGCTCAGTGGTTACAGTACTGACCTGCGCACTGAAAGGTTGCAGGTTCAATTTCTGGTCAAGGACACCTACCTGGGCTGCAAGTTCATTCCCCTGGCTAGGGTCAGGGCACATGTGGGAGGCAACCAATTGATGTGTCTTTCTCACATCGATGTTTCTCTCTCTTCCCCTTCCTCCTTCCCTTCCACTCTCTAAAAATCAGTGGAAAAATATCCTTGGATTAAAAAAAAAAGCAGACCTCCTCTTGTTCCTTCCTCCTGGAATGGAAATACCAGGCAGCCATCACTATGCTATGAGAGATGCATTGTGGGTGGAGAACTAATGAGAGGAGAACTTGGATTCTTGATGACTTCATGGAGTCCTGTTCTGGACTATTTCACTGGTTAAGGAACTGTTGTCAGGTTTCCTATTTCATGCAAATAAGTCCTAACTAAACAGCCTGTATAGGGAGATCAGTGCCTTTGAAAAACAGAAGAGAAGGTGGGAAAAGTAGGTCAAACAGTCCAGAAGTTTTAACTCTCTATACCCTATATAGAACACTAGAGGCCCGGTGCACAAGATTCGTGCACTGGGGTGGCCCTCAGCCCAGCCTGTGCCCTCTCACAGTCTGGGAGCCATCAGTCGGACATCCTTAGCACTGCCGCAGAGGCGGGAGAGGCTCCTGCCACTGCTGCTGCAC